ATAATAATAATAATAATAATAATAATAATAATAATAATAATAATTGGTCGCGAATGAACTAGTAGTTGATGCGACCTTAAATAACACACCAAAATAATAATAATCGTAATAACGATAAAGCCAATTGTTCTATGATCAAATATATAAAAATGTGGCTTTAATGAAATAAAGGTACATGCCGTAGATTATTTGTGACTCCCTTCAACCGAAGATGTGTCTTTGGTCAGAGGGGCCAAAACCTAGTCCATCTGATTCACTGTACTTAAGATATGGATTTACAATCAGTACTTGCCGCATTGTCTGGTGCAGTTTTTCCAAGGTGTTTGATAATAGCCCATGTCACAACAATAACACCAGGAATACCTGCAATTTTATCACAAATACATGGAGAGATTATTTTAAATCTATGTTACAATATCGATCATGGGTTCCAATGGTAACGCAGCTCGAAAAACGATGTTTTGAGACCGGCGTATTTCATTTATTCGCTGGTGGTTGAAGTGAAGAAGTTATGTTATGTGTGTACAAATTTAGACATAACCATAAGGTTTTAGTTGCGTTTTGACGATTATAATATGATCAATATTACGGCATTTACTCAATATTAGTATTTCCAAAGTGGAACCCATGAACGATATCAGAACCTCGAAGCTAAAGGGTCTGTTACATAATTTTACAGGAAAGCAGTGTCAATACGCTTTTTGACTTCTTAGTGAAAGGTTTACTGCTTCTAACGTATTTTTAAAGATTTTTGAACCTTCTTTACATATTCAGAGAGGACAATGAAATAATAACAATATTGTTTGTCGCATTTACTAATTTTACGGGGGAGACTTTTCAAGACGTATCACGTTTCTGCGTTCAAAGTTTACTCGAGTTTACTCTAGTTTACTCTCTTACTTTAAGCAGATCAATGCAGTTTGAAAAAGTGTGTAAAATCGCCTATTTTTGCAAAACATGGACATAGAGCCATTAACTCCGAGATAAATACAACATATAGTAAAATAGTGTCTATTTCAATTTGTTCAAGAAGCCTGTTTTCACCTCGCATCTAATACACTTCTTTATAAATATCTTGGCAAACCAACAACTTATTTAAAAAAATTTCTCTAATTTTAAATTACATACAGGTGTACGAGAAACATACATGTATTAGGTTTATGATTCTTCTAATAATGAACCATAAATTATCAGGAACTTTTCAATGATCACATAACATTATCGTTAGGGTAATTGTGGAGCATCAGTGGTGGGGGGAACGCAGGACTTCAGAATAAATTGCAAAAAAATTGAAGGAAAGTGGCTAATTAGCTGTGAGGGAGATACCGGTCTAGGCACAGGCGCCAACGTTTCGGCCCCCGTTCAGTGACCTTCCTCAGGGCGAAATGGGAATGAATCGGATCAACTGGCAGAAAGAATTATAAATAAGTGTAATTTTATGAACTGTCAATATATGTAATAATACTAATTACAAATGAGAGAAACAGGCGATAACTCACCCCATCCAATGATGATATATATTTGCAATTTGACCTTTTCTCCTGTGAATGTTGCCACAACCAGCAAGAAAAGATATAAGCCTGGAATACAAAATATGTTGATGATTTTTAAGTTACAGGGTCTCTCAGCAAGACTTTGACGCTTGAGAAGACTGCCAAATAATATAGACGGGCAACAATTATTACTAACACGCTTGAAGAAAAATTTAATTACCTATGGTTAATATCGTCGCATAGTGAACACATAAGTCTGGCATAAATAAATGTGGGCATCAAAGACAAAATTCAAAAGCGAATAGGATTGTGAACCAAGAGGATCTTAGAAAATATTAGATGGCCTACAAATTTACTTACAATATACGTACCAAATTGAGAAAACCTATGTTTTACGTCAATGCAATTAAAAATGGAAACAGCATACATAAATACAGAGAATCTCAGAAACATTAAAAATATGAAAGCACAAAAGCACAATTAGATTTCTGTCATAGTTAACTACACTATAGTCTTAATTTTTAATTAGAATCACAAATATCCAATTACTGTCTTCAACATTCTTGTTGTGTTTTTTCGCCACATTGTCACCAAAATTGGCTCGTGTTTTTGGCTCATTTTTCAAAATTTTCCAAAAATGTCTATTTTTTTCTTTTATCAAATTATTTTGAAACAAAATCAATTTTTTGTATGTTCTATAACCATAATGTAAATATTTAACTATATTCATTATAATTTTTAATTAGGTTTACATTTCTACTTTCTCCTATATTCCATAAAAATATTACGTCATGGCACAGGAAACCGTATTGATATTATCACAGGAAAACACATGTTATGGATTCCTGGTACAGAAAAGTAGTTTCTTTTTTCTTCCGAGAATACATATAATCGACAAAATACATGATTTGAGGATCCTTTATATGGAAAAAGAGCAACACAAGCTCCACAACAGGACTTCTTACCAAAATTAATATTTCTCGATCAATTGGAAGTTCTCATTACCCTGCGAATTTTAAGTGAAGTGTTAGTACGATGCAAAATTCTAATATTCATTAACCTTTACAAATGACACCAAGAATTAAGTGATGTTGTAGATCGATGTTTTGATTTGATTTATTTTCGTCAGAAAACATTAAAAACTATATGTGGCTTGTGGGAAAGAAGTAAATTCTGCAAATGTTTTTTTTAGCTCTGGATTCACTACCCCACTCTTTAGTGCACATTGACGAATGATGAATAAAATTACTATAGTAATTATTTAAGATTTTGATTGAAAAGAAAATTAAAACATATTTTTGTAACCTTTCATTGTGCTAAAAGTATTTCACAAGGTTGTAGAAATGTTTTGGCATTCAATTTCCAATATTATAATGTTAAATAAACGATATCAATAACAATAGAAATTACATTATATTGAAGCAATTAATTAAGTAATTGCTGTGTCTCACGCATTTTCGTCTGAAAGAGATGTCGAAAAAATAAAGTTTTATCTGGGAGCCTTTTTGTTTTTATAATCCAAGTAAATAAGTATTCCTCAATTTTGAATTTGATGATCGCTACACCTAAAATAACCACAAAAACAAGTTTTATTCCATTCCACAAAGAGGAAAAAATTACCTTCAACAAACATCCAGAAGAAGTTGGTGAGGTAAAAGTAGTGCATTAAAACTGCAAGAACACTGCATAAACCGCCGTTTTCCACGTATTCCTGAAATAAAAAGAGATAATATAATTATAATTAGAAATTCAAGCTATTTTTAGATTAGATTAGATTAGATTTATTAATAAT